TGACCGTTTTTGCATTCATCGTGGTCTGAAGAAAAAGGAGATAAGGGTGATTGGGGCGTTATCACAGTGCCAAACGTCTGCAATACAAACATGTTCTTACCAATTGGATTAAGTGCTTTTATCGTCCGTGCAAGAACCAATCCATACAATGGTTTGTTTTGTTCTGCTTTTGATAATAGTTTTACATATTCTGTGCTATACTGGCGATCTTTTAATGCTTGGCCATTTGTTCTCGTTTTTGCAGTGATTGTAGCCTTCTTAACCTGTATGGCAGTTGTTTCCTTTTAGAAATTGTGAGAGGCATTTGAAAGCTGGGGTTGCAAGACGGCGTCGAACAAAGTGGAAATAGCAAAAAAAGAAAAAGCATTGAGAGGATTCAAAAGAGGAAGAAAATAGGTTACTAGTCAATGAAGATGCTACAAGTGCCCCAGCTGGTAGATAGGCTTAATCTCTGGGATCACTTGCAGACGTTTGTTCCGTCTCTTCCAAAACCGGATGGAGTATGTTATAATCAACATACGGACCATTGTCTCATTTTACGCAACAGGTAAAGTCTGTCAACATGAGGCCGATCGTAACGCACCTGAGCAGGTTCGATTGTCAAAGTTTAGAAAATATCCATTTTGACAAATGCATTGGAAGCTCCCAATCGTATTGTTGCACTGGTATCCACAGCCAGCTAAACCTAGCTTGCATTCATCGATATCTACAAAGTAAAGAAACACATTTGTACGTGTTAATAAACAATTATTGGATGAGCGTTTTTGTGATATCCGGAATAATCAAGGTCGAGGTAAGTGTTATCAGCCGAAGCCGAAGGCTGACATATAATAAATATATTGACATATAATAAAAGTTTTCTTAAGTAAAAGTATTTTGAGATGATGTATTTCTGTTTATCACCTGAACATGATTGGTTATCCTTGTTGAGGGTAAAGCCAACTTGACATGCGCAGCTGTAGCCTCCAGGATGATTGACACATCGTTGTTGACAAGTGTGCTTTCCCGTCAAGCATTCGTCATGATCTGAAGCGAGTGAACACAATATATAGTACTTGTAAAATTCTCCTTAATTTAATTAAATGTCTTAGTTATAAATCTGATTACCAGAGAACTGAGTCAAGCATAAACGCCGATCTCCAGTTAATGCAATATTGAGCGGTCTCAATAGTCATACCAAGAGAAGCAGTATGAATTCGGCTATTGATGTTTGCAATTTAATAGTGTAGAATCGACCGATCATTCCCAAATATGTAACCAGCCATTTAAAATAAGACAATAACTGGGTGCGAATGTCTATGGTTGATCTTGCAACTTACCTGCACAATCTCGCTTATTAGTTGTGAGGAGATAACCTCGAGGACATGTGCAGAAGAAACTCCCCAGTGTGTTGTTGCATCTGTACTGGCATACGGGCTGTGCACATTCATCTATATCTATTAAGTGTAGAAATATATGACAACTTAACTTGAAGTGTTTTATAGATGGACGTAGCAGAAGTATGCGTTATGACGGATACAAGGCCGATTCTAATGAATACCTTTTATGGTCCAAAAGCTAACTGACCATCTTTCAATTGAACATCGTAAAACCAAAAACCAAGGTAATCAGTCTAGCCAATCAAAAAGGAGGCAGACAATCTAGTGAACCAATCAAAACACCAACCTAAGACATGTTGCTGACTCAAAGTGCTAGTAAACGTGTGCGAGCCACTCGCAATTTGTTTTTGTTTTACTTCTCATTGGATAACAAAGTGGCACGAGTATTTTTTAAACCAATGGCTTAGTGTAGAAACTCAGCAAATGTGAATTACTTTAGACACTCAAATGAAAACTGCTTCAAGTCTAGCAACGTACCTGAACACGTTATGGAGTCCTTACTGAGTCTATAGCCGCTGTAACAGGCACAGGAGTAGCTACCGGGTTTATTGACGCATCTCTGCTGACAGTTGTTTGATCCGCTGCACTCATCAATATCTGTTAGGATGAGAGATAAGTGACCAGGTTTGCCTTTTTTCCAGTTCCAAGAGGAAAATTACAGCTATAATGCAATGGCTGAGTACCGCTCCATGTAAGTGTGGATGAGATGCAATATTGTAGTCTTAACATGACATCATGTCATGAGAACTTGTTGGCTCTAGACTAAATTACTTGTAAGATATCGCCCTCATTCTCATTACTCTTTAATAACTTAACTACAGCGCATAAAATG